ATAGCTGAAATAGAAGAAAACAGCGCGACAAACGAATGGCGCTGGATACCGACCAAACAGAACGTCGCCGACGACGCCACGCGAAACGTGCCAAGCAACATCGATATAACGCATCGCTGGTTTCGCGGGCCGGAGTTTTTATTCGGCGACCCATCCACATGGCCTACAGCGGACTTCGCGCTCACCAAAGAAACAGGCGAAGAAAGAACGCACACAGTAATAGAGCGCGAATCGACGCCCGCACTACGCAACGCACTCCCTAACAGCGAGCGATTTTCGAAGTGGGAAAAACTAGTACGCGCAACCGCCAGGGTACTGCAATTCGTCGAACTTTGCAAAACAAGAAAAAAGAAAAGCAAAGACGCAGTAAACTACAGAAGAAATAAGAAAAATAAAGAAAAGGACCCAGCCTGGCAGCAACGGAAACCGGACGCCCGCGTCGCGCCCAAGAAGAAAGAGACAGCAATAGCGACGCCGTATATACCTATCGGCGCCGAGCTATTACGGCGCGCCGAGACGCTGATAGTACGTGCCAGCCAAGAGGAGGCCTTCAAGAGAGAGATAGAAGACGCAAGCCGCGGAAAACCGCCGCACAGCAACAGTCGATTGCGCACGCTCGCGTTCGAAATAATAAACGGAGTCGTCGTGCTCAAGACACGCATAGACGCCGCGAGCGACATAGAAGACAGCATAAAGCGACCGCCGATAGTTGACGGCAATCACCGCGCGGCGCGACTGTACATAGACTACGTACACAGACAGCTACATCACAGCGGCGTAGAAGCGACAATCAACGAATGTCGACAGCATCTATGGATTTTACGCCTACGACCGACAGCAAGAAACGTCATACACAGCTGCATACCGTGCCGCATAAGAAGAAACACGCCGCCCGCGCCGAGCACCGGTAATCACCCATACACCCGGCTCGCACACCACCGACGTCCGTTCACCTACTGTGGGCTCGACTACTTTGGCCCACTAACGGTGACAGTGGGTCGTGCGACACAGAAGAGATACGTCGCGCTGTTCACCTGCCTCACCACAAGGGCGGTGCACCTGGAGATAGCGGCGTCACTCACCACCGACTCCGCAGTGATGGCACTACGACGGATGATCGCGCGCCGCGGCTGCCCAGCTGAAGTTTGGTCTGACAATGGAACGAACCTGCAAGGGGCCGCTAAAGAGTTACGGCAACAGATCGACGCAGCAACGCAAGAAGAAGCAAGTAAGAAGACAATCGAATGGAGGTTCATACCCCCCTCCGCACCCTTCATGGGGGGGCATGGGAGAGACTCGTACGCAGCGTAAAAGAAGCACTCGCAACCACTCTGCATCAACGGCAAGAAGTACTGCACACACTGCTCGCCGAAGTAGAGTACACAGTCAACAGCCGGCCACTCACACATGTGCCGGTGAGCCCAGACGACGAAGAAGCGCTAACACCGAACCACTTTCTCCTCGGCGGCTCAGCACGCGTGCCGCCACTCGGGAAGTTTTCCGAGACCGACCTCCTCGGGCGCACACACTGGCGCGCCTCGCAACAGCTCGCCAACGCATTCTGGAACAGATGGATACGGGAGTACCTGCCGTAACTTCAAAACCGGCGGGAGCCCCGTGGAAGGGGACCGAACGTCAAGACAGGCGACGTCGTCCTTATCGCCGACGGGACGCTGCCACGCAACCTGTGGCCCCGGGGAGTCATAACACACACGTACCCGGGGCCAGACGGCGTCACACGGGTGGTCGACGTGCGCACCAAAGGCGGCACACTCAGAAGACCAGTGAAGAAGCTCATCGTGCTACCGACGGGACAGCCCACTACAGAACCAGGATACCAAGACGGCGGCCTTCGTGAAGAAACTGGATGCGACGCCCGGCAAGCGGACGACGCACGGCGGGAGAGATGTACAGAACAGCCGCCGCCCTAATTCAATAGTTTAATAATCTTTATGTGTTGTAAATAGTAGTCATAGTTAGTTATAAGTGAAATGTAAAATTATTGTTATTTTAATAAAGAATTGCGCAACAGTCATTTCACGATAGGTAGGTACACATATTCAGTAACACAACGCTGTGCGAGACAGCACTACAGTCTCTCTCGCACAGCGCTAGGATAGGCACACGGCCGCTATAACGTCGCACAAAGCGCGAACAGAAATAGCACCGTGAGAGAGACAGCATTATAGGCTGTCCCTCTCACAGTGCTCCGATAGGCGCACTAGCGCAGTAATATAGCGCTAAGTGCGGGCACTTGTGGCCTACATAGGTAGTGACCAAAATAGCCTCGACCTCTGGACCGTACCTACGTCGCCGCGCACGGAACCAATCTACCCGCAAAAGTTCTCCGACGAAAAAAATAGTATTTTTTCGCTCGAGAGACTGCCTGGCGCCATTCTGCGCCGGCGGTGATTTCCCGCGCCCCCAGCCGCAGGCCTTGAGCGCGCCCCAAGGCTGCGCTCGGCCAGGTTCGCGCTGACGTAGCCCCCACTTCCGCAGCATGGACAACTCCAACCCGACGACCGACGCGGACATCGCGCACAACCTCGCGCACTTTTGCGCCGTGGTGCACGGGCTGAAGTCGCCCCGCGTCCAATATGAATTGGACGCCGCGATGGCAGCCCGTCTCCTGGACTCTGGCTTACTGTCCGCGCGGTTGGCGGATTGGATACGGGTCTTCGTCCGTCTCCTAGAGATGGATGAGGACTCCACCGACACCTACTGGCTCGGCGACCGGCCCACTGCCAACGACAGCCGCAGAGTCAGCAAGATGCCGCTCACTTTCCCGCCGCCAAGCAACATTTATATGTTGCCGATCTACAATCGGCCACCGAAAACGGAGGAGAGACGCCCCCGCTGGCGCTGTGACCCGCGACTCTGCCGGTCCCGCAGCTGCAGCGACTCCCCCGTCCCCATGGCGAGGCCACCACCCACCCCGATGCAGGATGACACGCAACCCGAGCGAGAAACCGCCCCCGCTACGACTGCTTTACCGACACAGTCGGTAAGCTACTCCGAGGCTGCGAAACTTTTCGCGCCTACCCCCACCGAGATCGAAAAATCCACACCCACCGCCGCACCACCCATTGCCGCGCCGACCGCGCAACCGGCCTCCGGCGGCGCTCCCACGTCCCAACGGGCATATAAATGCCCGCCGATTGTGGTTGAGCAGCTGCCGGACTGGCCGACGCACATGCGCGCCCTCCGCGACAAGCTCGGCCGCCCACCAAGCGCGCGCCCTTTTGGCGCGGGTGTGCGCTTCCTGCCGGAGGACGACAGCGAGAGCCGCACCATCGTAGACTACCTATCCAACCTCAAGGTGAGCGGGCTGAGTTGGTACTCGCACGCTCGCCCCGAGGACCGCAGCTTAAAGGTGGCCATTAGAGGGCTGCCTTTCGACACCGCGCCGCAACACATCACGGAGGCCCTTGCAGAGAAGGGCTTCACTGCTACACACGTAAGACAGATCCGGGCGCGAGCAGGCCGCCCCGGCTGTCTGTATTACGCCGCACTCAACCGCACTCCAGCTACAATCCCGGCCATCTACTCAGTGAGTGAGCTCCTGAATATGACCGGGATTCAGATAGAAGCCTGGAGAGGGCGGAAGACCCCCGCGCAGTGCCACCGCTGCCAGGGGTTCCGCCACTCCAGCCAAGGCTGCCACCGCGCGCTTGCTTGCGTGCGCTGCGGTGACCCGCACGCTGCCGCTGACTGCCCCCGCCCGCTCGCGCAACCCGCGACATGCGCGAACTGCGCAGGCGCGCACCCCGCTAACCATAGCGCGTGCCCCGCGCGATTGCGTGAGGCGCGAAACCGACGCGCCACGACAGTGGCCCGCACAGGCCGCCCTCACACCGAGCCAGTACAGCATCCCAGCGAGGTGAGCGAGCACGCGCCGGCCACTCTTATGGCCCCCGCGAATGCTCCTCCCTCGCACACCAACATCAGCCGCACCAAACACCGCCGCCGAAAGCGTCGCAACACACCGCCGACGACTACGGACAAAGCCGCCCCACTACCCAAGCCAACCACCGCCACCGTCGCGGTGGCCGATACACCGCCGCCTACGCCGCCTACACCGTCAACGCCACCGACGCCAACCACCGAAGCCGTTCAAGAAACGCCGCCCGTCACCCAAGACGCAATTTTCAAACTCACGGCCATGCTGACGGATTTCATCCAACAATTCGGGCAGGTCGTGAAAATGATTTTGACATCTACCCCCGGACAGGAATCTACCCCCGCCCGCTGAAGTCCGTCGCCCGCTCGCTGGTCGCTCACTGGGCCTCCCTCATGGGTCTCACCCGGTGGGCTTGACCGCGCCGAGGGCGACGTGTGAAGAAGCGGAGAGGGGGGTAACACAACCCACACGACCGTCCCGTTCGAAACGGGATGCGAACCCGACGCCTCCGAAATGGCTCACGCCAAAGGACTCCCCGCACGCCGCGGCGCCTTCGGCGCCTGCGACGCGCGAGATGAAGATTGCAAGGCCTCGACCTCTTTCATCTTTCATCGTTCACCGATACACCACTGCACATGCAACAAACAACAAGCGCACTGAAGCTAGAAAAAGGGATTTTCATTGAAGCTGCCAGCCCCATAGACATCCGCACCCCACCGCACCGTATCGAACGGTATTAGGGAAGAGCGCCACAGACGCCGTTCGATACAGCTTTAAAATTTGAACTTGTTGAGTTGCCCTAAAATACGTAAAGAAAAGTTTACTAGAAACAAAATCAACTCTACCAAGGTATCAAGTTGAACTCGAACTAGCTAGCGGCTTTCGCATAAATTGAAAATCAAATCTATATTGTTCGTTCACTTATAATGTGAAGAAGTAGCGCTGCCTTGTAGTCTAACATACACAAGACGAAATTCGACACTTTTCGAAAGACGCTGGACGTGTGCAGCTATGGCCAACTTACATACTATACTATATTTAAATTAGTGTGTTTTGTATAGAAGCACAGAATACATAATAGTAATGAGTCAAATCTTACTTTCTGTATTGCATCTTGAGTATCGCCTCGGACATGTGTATGCGGAATATAACGCCGGGCCGCAGGTGCGCCTGGTACAAGTCCTTAGGCATCTCCACGTACGTAGACTCCCAGTCCTGGCAATTAGCAAGGCGTTATGATGTGCCGTATTAGTAATACATATTCTCAAAAAATCGAAAGTTTACAATGTTTCTGATAATTTACAAACATTCAAGGGAATATTCCCGTGATTTATAATGAGTAATTTACTTGAAATTTAACAATATTCTAGCCATCGTCCGTCACCTTACCGGATTGAACACAATCCCAGTTTCACTGATGTCAGTGGGTGTTAAGTATATTATGATTAAAAAAACGGTTATGATTTGAGAATATGATTTTTAATGTTGATATAGGAATAAAAATGATTTAGTGGGATTGTGTTGTCATTTGAGCTTAGTAGACTAATGAAGTTACCTAATTGTTGTGATTTGAGAATAAGATTTCATGGATAACCGCCGATTGCTAATGTAACATTGCTAGTAAAGAGATTTTACCTTCATCGGTGGCTCGTAAACATCGTAAGTTCTCTTGTCATTCTTGTCCTTTTTTTTCCTTCTTTTCCCTTGTTGGGATTCCCAGTATTCGCTGCGCCGCGACGCCTTCGGTACATCCGTCGATGATGAGTTCTTTGCTGCCTAAACAAATCAGATAGTGGCACCAATCACTGACAAGAACAAATTGATCGACACTCCTTTCTGTGATCAATGAAAACAAGAGTGGGCAATCGATCAACAAATATGGCAACATAGTGCGTCTATAGCTCCCCGGCTAACTAGAGCCGAGGTCCGAGTCTTAGAGACGACCTCTAGTTGAGCCGACCTCTTCAGTACCCTTAGTACGAGTTTTACAATCACCACCACCAACCACCATCACCAGTGAGCTCGCACTCGTACTAAGGGTACTGATTTTACTGTTTTCGTTACAATACAAATAAACAGTGTTTAAATTCTATCATTAAATCATTTGCGTCTTCTTAAATTTTAAGTATATTTGGTTACTTTTGACCAAAATGGACATAGAAACATAATTAACAATTACGAAAACTATGATAGTCTTCGTGAGCTCAAACTCGTACTAAGGGTACAGGTTCGAATGTGTCTAGAAATTCCAGACGGAGAGGAGATTCCCCCCGTGGGGACATGCCATCTGCCTGGAATACATCTAGAGGCATTCGGCAATCTCGGCTTGAGGTCCCCTAAGGATCTCGTCGTCCCCAAACCCGGTGACGCTGTAAAGGTCATCTACGACCAACAGCATACACACTCAAAAAAAAGTCTACATCTCTTTGTTACCACACTGAACGATCGGTCACCTCCCATTTTCATTAATCACATAAAAAATGTGTGGTTACTGGCTCCTGTAGGTCATCGGTGCTTTAAGTCACTGTTTTTTTTTATAATACAAAACATCATTATTAGCCTATTTTTCCCACTGCTGGGGCTCATAAGACCTTCTCTGTGGATACCTACTAAAGGGAGGATGGGCCATGATTATGATATTAAAACATTTTTTTATAAAAGTCGGATTGAAACATTTAATCGTCTCAGAGGTTTTATATAAATAAATCAATGTTAAAACATGAATAGATCTCGATGGCGCAGGTGGATAGCGTGTTCAGCCTGCGATCGTGAAAGTCAAGCAACTTTTGCAATGCTCGGTCATTGGATCATCATCATCATCAGTCTATTAATGTCCCCACTGCTGGGCACAGGCCTTGACTATGGATGGCTCTTCTACGCATTGTCATCTGTCGGTCATTGGATGGGTGGCCACAAATTTACTATCTCGAGCTCCTCCGTGCTTCGGAAGGCACGTTAAGCCATTAGTTTCGGCTGCATCCGCAGTCGTTAGCAGCCACCATCCGCACTGAGTCCGCGTAGTGGGTCATGGCCCAATCTCCCTGTTCCATCCGTAGGGACGGCCTGTGTCCCAATAGTGGGGACATTAATAAGCTGATGATGATGAAAACATAAATAATTACCTCATTTTCATCAGGAGCTGTAGTCGTGCTCTTCTGCTTGCCTCTTCGCCGGCCGCCTCGTCCTCTCCTCCTCTGGCAAAAATTACAACTTTCTATTTAAAGAAGGCAATTTATTTTGCGTGAAATATGAAAACGAACAAAAAATATTTCATAATTTCATTTCAAGAATTCTCAGATACATCCTTAAACGTGATAATAATAATTCAAGCAAAATAAATAAAAACCGACTAAGTGCGTGTCGTGCCACGTGCAGTGTAGTCCGTAGGTGCCTGTAGTTACCACAATATATTTGAGCAAGAGTCTTTCATTGATTATTTTCATTTCTCTCTTAGAGTGAGCGCAGACTATAGTCACAACAGTTGTTAGACAGTCTTATCTTACATAGACGAAACAGCTTTACAATTAAAAAGAAACAGTTGTGTCTACCACAAGGCGCACACCAAGACGAAACTGTTTTGCGACACACATCATTTCATCAGTATCAGAATAGATTTCACCGATTTTTATTATATAGTAAATTAAGGCACCACCCCAGAAAGTTTTACCAGTCATTTCGAATGAATGTATCTACCTTTTATAATTTTTCAAAATTTATGGACCCACATTAATATTACTTATTTTATGGTATGTGTTGTAATTATACTTTCTTTCGATTATCATCCCTAATCGCTAGACAATTTTGTCGTTGGTGTGCGCCCTCGCATACGTTACAAAGGGAAGCGGACAGTCGTTAGTCAGACTCGTCGCTTTGCAGTTCTTGTGTACATAAGACGTTTTTATCTATGAGACGTCTCGTTTCGAATGTGCGCATCTTCATAATTTTTGTTAAGCAATAGTCTGTCTTGAGACTGTCGTGACTCTAATCTGCGCTCAGCCTTACTGGGTATATTTAGGTATATTCGGAAAGTGTGCATCATATAATAATTACCAATTTTCTTAATTCTAATAATTTTAATAGAGATCCAAAAGAAGATAAGCAAATGTAATCTAAAAATGTTATAGTATATACCTATTTATACAATCAATAAATTTATTCTAATTGTATTATTAATGCTCGTTTTACCTTTTGAGTTTCGTTTTCCCCATATGGGCGCCCACTTTTAACTAACACCATTGATTTTTAATAAGAAGGCAGTCTTACTTTTATGTAGCTAATCAACATTCAAATATGCAGACCAATCAAATAAACTGCATAAAGAAATGTGTTCACCTGTTGCCAAATTCTATAATCTTGCTGCCATTATTTTGCGGTGTGACTGTTTCATTAAGAGATAATAAGCTACTTGACTTTTTGGAAATATGTTTTAATTGGTTAATAATTGTTCTACTAGACCGAAAAAAATGTATTGCATTTTTTTGTACCTAGAAAGCTACAAAACTTTAATTTTTAAATAGATTTTTCATGGACATACAAAAACGCTGTCGGCCATTTTAGTCTATAGATTCTATGACGTCAACAAAATCGTAAACAAACATTCGGAAGCACGTAGGAAATAACCTGAATCTAAATTTATATTATAAAACCATGCTTTCTAATAGATTTCATGATAAATATAATAATTATCATGATTGTATTATACGAGAATGTAGAAAAAAAACGTTAAAGACAACAACTTTCCTGGAGTCTTCGTCTTCTAACGTCTGAAAGTCTTTTCTTTTAGCAAAGATCACTTTTATGGTAGTACTCATTTAATAATATTTAAAGTTTAAAAATACAATTTTTAAGGTTATGAATGTACCTACTAAGTCAATGAGTTTTGTCATTTCAACAAGGTGTAATAGTTATAATTTTTAAATCTAAAGAAAATATAACTAGAAAAAATTCCACGCGGACTTTTTTTTCTAGTTATATTTTCTTTAGATTTAAGGTGTAATAGTTTTTAGATATATTTCAGTCCGACGAAAGACACCACAGTAACACGACAATGACATTTAGTTGTTTACTAATACATTTACTAACTTGTTGATGTCACAATCATGGTGGACAGCGTTTTGGTTTAAAAAGCTTAGACTAAAAAAACATTTTTCAAATTAAATTACTACAGCCATCTTCTAATTTTATGAAGTGAAATCGATGAATTTAGGTTCCTTATACCAAACATTATAAGAAATAAACATTTGTATAGATAGTGCAATTTGATATGAGTCAACTAGCCTATTAATAAAACAAGCTAGCTGTTTATGTTTAAATTACTGACCATTATCATGATTGTTTAGTGAACAAGAATTGACGCCTGATTTTTAGTACTGCTAACAAAATCATTGATTGGTGGCCAAGTAATTTTTAGGCTGCTTTCTGTTGCTAACCAAAATATTAAATGGCATTCCAATTAATTACTTTTTATTGTAGATGCGGGATTTAGGAATCTCTATGCTATAGCTTTGTAACAAATAACCTTGCATTAACTACGGGCAGATGCAGGAAATCAACATTTTGCCAACAACATTGTTGAGCTTCTGTCTATTTGCATCACTGTCACTCACTGATGACTGCAGTTCAGGCTTGTTATTTAAGAATTGTTCAAACTAATATTTTATTGACATTTGCAGTGATCATATGTATTTATACATATGTTAATTTGCGATGCAAATAAATAAATAAATCTAAACTATGGTGTAGCATGGGTCTTAGAGACCCATCTCCCGGCGGCGTGATGATTACGAATTTTTTGAAATGAAAACTTCTTTAGCGGCGTTGTACACTTTTTTTGTATGGGTAAAAAATGTTACACTCTCGTCAGGGGACACGTGGGCTGATCGCATCATGACACACAATAAAATTTCAAAGGTGGTTGACTTTCAATATATTGGACGAAACATAGTAATATTTTATTTTACCGTATTATAATAATTAGTCTCTATCTAGGGCGTCCACGTGGCAGCTTTATTGCGAAGAAAATGCATTTTTCTACAATAGATGTCGCTAGGTGCGCTTATATGTGATCCATGTAAGTTTATTTCTTTACAATAGATGTCGCTAAGTGCGCTAAAACGTGATTCAGGTAAGTTGATTTTTCTGAGAGATAAACATTTTTAATGTAATATAAATTGTCATGTTTGTGTACTTTAGCGCAATAAATAAATATTGTATTCTACCACATACATGATAGTACTTTTATACTGATAATTAAAGCAATTCGTGCAAAATTATTCCCTAACCATTCCAAAATATCAAAAATGCACAACGTAATATTCAAGTTTTCACTTCTGCCGGCACTCCCGGAGTGCAACCCGTCGTTTTTTTTATGTTAAAACAATGGTAAAATACCTATGGACCCGTCTGATGGTGAGCGGATGCTATAACCCTTTGGACGCTTGTAATAGCAAAAATATTTTTCGTCGTTATTATATTTTTTTTATAAATATTTAGATGCCTATCCTGACCCTACCATTTGTCTCGTGGAATATTGGAATTAATCTGACGCTGTTTACTAGAGTATACAGGAGTTAATTTCAGAATAGTTAGAACAATATTAATGGTGATAATTTTATATTTATCATGGTCAAATTAAAATCAAACACTTATTAAATTATTCGTTGTTTAATTTTAGTGAATCAAGCTGTGCGAATGCATTCACTATATTAGTTTGAAATGCAAGAAATTCTCATTCTAAATTCATTACATGGAGCCATTATAGAGTTATTATTCTTCTACGTCTTTCGGTTCCGTTATCGAATCAACGAATACAACCGAATTACATTCTGCTGCATCACACTGCAACATGGGCGGTACTTCCACCGGAGTCACGGAATACTCATCACCGATCACATACGGATTCCCATCTATCCACAACGCGTCAAACAGACAATAAATGTGGACTTTGATCGTCATGTAACTTATGAATTTGTAAATTCTCCCGCCGCACTCTCCCAAATGCTCCTTGATACTCTTATCCGTCTTGTACATCAAAAGGAGATTGTGGAATTTCGTTATCTCGTCCATAACTACTTTCTTTATCAAATTCGTATAGATTATGTCCGCTTCGATGTGCCTTTCTGGGTCTTCGTACATTCTCTGCTTGATCCTAAGTATAGCGTCTGACATTCTCACTCTAAATATCACACCAGGGTTCATCTGATCAGGTAGGATGCCCGGTTTCTTCGTTGTTGTTGTGAAGTCGAATACTCTGTCCTTCACTGGCTCAGGGTAGATGTAATGGTGCGGTCTCTCTCTGATCTTCGGTCCATTCATCGTGTTAAATTGGCGGGAGTTCTGTGATACAAAATTTTTCGTGTTAATCTCTTATGCTCTTTTTCCCTCTTGCGCTTATTGGTTTCGGGTCTTCGCTTAACTATTTGTGTTTAATATAAAATATGTTTTCTTTATTACTTTTGATGATCTTTGTTTAATTGCAGTTGTCTGTTTCATACTCGAGTAAATTAGTCTTTTATTGAGATTACCTTTTCTTACTATTCTTGCACATATACCTTTGGAAACAACAGATTTATAATACACTAACCGGAAAGCTTATAGTTATATATTTCGAGAAACGAAGCTCCTTTTCGGACGGTACGGACTTGACGGTGTAAGCGGCCCTGAAACCGCTGGATGCCACTTGCTACCTTCATAATTTAACCGTGCGCTTATAAGAGGGCGGTAGGGTAATGATTCACCCAGCAATACGCACTGGGCCCGCGTAGTGGGCCATGGCTCAATCTCTCTATTTCATCCATAGCGAAGGCCAGTGCCCTAGCAGTGGGGACGGTATATATATATATATATATAGACGGTATTCTAACCGAGTGTTACAAGACACTCACGTTTGTTTTTTTTTTGTTAGAATATCCACTAAGTACCATGTGCTCTTTGTAATTCTGATGTTTTCATTAAAATCTTAATTTTCATAATAATGAAACCTAAATTATTAACAAAAATTTTTTTTCACAATTAGTAACCTGAATCATCTGATTTACTTCGGCTTTATCTTACATGAAAGAGGATTCAGATTTAGTGATGTACCATTCCAGAAGATATTTTGGAATTATGATAGGAATACTCCCATACTTTCCAATGATTCCAAGTTTTAACCAAAATTACCGGGATTTATTTGAATATTTTCATAAATTTACACAGAGTAAATTACTGGTAATTTTAATGTTACCAGCGGCAGCACATCATAATTCACATTCGATCAAGAAAATCTGTCACTTTTTTTTTAACCTGGAGGCTAATAATGTTCAATATTATATTAAAATCTTTTCGCGAATCCCTTCAAAGCCTTAAAATGGAGTCCGATTCACACGAGTAACGTAGGCGTCTTTGGGATCTGTTACCATCAGGCGGGTCATGCTTAATGCTTGTTTGCCAGCCATATCTATATATATAAAACTCAAAGGTGACTGACTAATTGACATAGTGATCAATCAACGCACAGCCCAAACCACTAGACGGATCGGGCTAAAATTTGGCATGCAGGTAGATGTTATGACGTAGGCATACGCTAAGAAAGGATTTTGATCAATTCTACCCCCAAGGGGATAAAATAGGGAATAACAGTTTGCATGAAACTGTCAATTTTAAACCGATCAGGCTGAGACTTTGCATGCAGGTATAAGAAGAATTATAGATGAATGTCATTGTGTATAATACAAGCCTGAGAACAAAAACTGTAGTCTACACTTCAGCTCTACACCGAAGCGAAGCGAGGGCGGGCCGCTAGTTAATATATTTACCTTAGCTCTCCTTTTAATGCGGTTGTGCTCAGCGCTGTCATCCTTGTATTTGTTCAGATAATCATCGAACCGGGAGAAGTCGTACGGAGCCCAGGAGTCCACTCCCGGACGGCTGCGGAACTCTTTTTGGTTTTCAACCTGGAGTGTGAAGTAATAATTGGAATTAGGATAAGATGAATTGAATGAAATGAAGAACAGTATGAATGTATGAGGAGCTCGATGGCGCAAGTGGTTAGCGCGTTCGGCTATGGCAAGTGGTTTGGTCCCGGCTGCATCTGCAGTCGTTAGCACCCACCAATACGAAAGATGATATACAATAACGAATTCGGAATCTATTTACTGTATATTGGGATGTTTATTATAATTGTACCAAATCGCCTGCGATACGGTGCAGGGCCAATATGTTTTCATCCTACTCTGAATTAAATAATTTTTGAAGTTGAATAAGGGAAATATAGTTATTATGAGTACTATTAAAGGTGAGAATTTAGTTTTAAATTATTACCTGTACTGATAACATACCTTTTCATGTGGTAATTTGGACGACATAAAATTGACCGGTTGCTCGTAAATATCATCTTTAATCTGTAAAATAATTGGTTGAGTTACAGTGTAGTTGAACATAATAATATGTATAGTAACAGAAGTGAAACCATACCTAAAAAAATAGCTTTTTTTGACGTTGTGCAATCCCTTACAAGGTAGAGGCTAAAGGTACAATTTAATAAAAACGAGTGTGGTATGGTGGTTAGTTCCATCTGTATGTATACAGGCTGTTACAAAAATACAAATAAAGCTTGAAGGGCGTAGAAGTACATCATATATGGAGTATTCTCTAATTTTCTTAAAATATTTGCATGAAGTTTTAACTTTTTATAAAAACAGTTATTTTTAATAATAAATAAAAATATCGATCATTTTAAGACACGTCACTAGTTCGAGGATCATTGGATGTACTTCAACGCCCTTGCAAGATTTATTTGTATTTTTGTAACACCCTGTGTTCAATATATACATGTATGTACATATACATATTTCATTTACTAGATATAAGAGAAACAGGAAAAATATGTGCGCGCGCACTGCTTTCTCTTGTTTATGTCCCCCCACTCAACTCTCGTTCGCCTCGCCCGAACACACTTTTCGTAATGCGTAACGCATTCGCTAGCTTACCCTCAAGTCAAGCGTGCGTAATAAAGTTCCACTTCAAAAAAAAAACAGAACATAGAAACTGCTTTAAGTTCAAATTACTGCGGTTTGTCACGCCACGAATGACCTATTATACTACCCGGGAACTTATTGAAATAGGCCATTGACAACAAAGCCTGCTCAGTAGTAATTTTACAAATACAAAAACGTCTAAATGCAATTAGGGACACGATATCGAATAGAAAGTATCGATACTGTACTCATGAGTAGTATCGGTAAAAAAGTATCGTACTCGTCAAAGTATCGAAACAAAAGTATCGATACTTCAAAGTATCGAGTACATTTCATAGGGCCTTATCGGAGCCTCTGTGGCCTGATAAGCAACCCCCCCCCCCCCAAGCCCCCGGTGTTAAAATTGAAAGAAAAACAATCAAATTTTATTTTTTTGTACGTATAATCAAAAACAAAAAAAGGACATGTAAATTCATAAATTGCTATATTATATAATGAAAAGAAAAAAGCTGTGATTTCTGACACTAAAAAAGGGTTCATTAATATTACATTCATAATTAAAATGTTAATTAAAAAGATCTAAATCTTAAACAATTTAAAATTATGAAACTTTTCAGATTTGTTTCAAATTAAACTTACTTTTCTTGAATTTCAATCATTAAAAAACATTATACCCACTTATGTTAACTTGAATCTGACAAGTAGTTAACGGCTGCCATTGGCATGCTTCACTCAAGATTATAATTATAGAAGAGGTTACGTCCGTCTTTTTTTCAGGTGTCTGTCAGATTGTCACGTGACCCAAAACGCTTGGGATTGGCGGAGCCTAAAATGACGTCACGCGCAAGTAAACTTCCGGTCAAAGTGACATTACATTGTATCGTTTGACGTTTTAATAACAGTCGTGTGACGTCACACACTAGTAAGACGCCATACTGTCCAGAGAAACGTTTTCGCGGCAACTTGAAAATGGAGTTTTTGATTTGGTTATTTTCATTGAAATACACGACAGAATGATGAATATCCGCTTTTTACGGACTCCATAAACATTAGTCAATAACGTGAGATCGTTGCCTAAAACTTGTCAAATACCCTATGGAACGTTTTAGAAGGTTTACTATGATTTAACAAGATGGCGTTGCCATCAATATGAGGCGCTTATCCAAATTTTTAAAGGTATCGTATATATACTTGCCAAAAAGTACTCATTTAGTAAAAGTATCGAATACAAAGTATCGAGTACAAAAGTATCGGTATCGAAAGGAAAAGTACTCGATACCACAAAGTATCGATACTTTTTTCGTGTCCCTAAATGCAATAGATGTTTAACTACAATCGGCCATCAGTTTAGTTTGTACGTACTTACCTGCAATAATTTTTATTTTCTTAATCAAAAGTCCTTCACCATCTACATTTGGTCAAGGTTGTTCGTAATAACATTAGGTAAATATACTTATTCAACTCACGTTAGGATAGTTCAGTCCAAATATGCTGGGGTCTGCATCACCGATGGAAACCAAATAAGAGAGCTGAAATAAAACACACATAAAAATACGTGGTAGGTTAGTAAAGTGGTGCTAGATACAAAGATATTAAATACCCTAGACACACCACGTGCGCTCAAAATGTGTCCCTATCAAGAAGTGCTTGAACACGACTCAAGCACTTCTTGGTTCGCAGTCACGCGCGGACCGTTGAAAAGTCAACATACCGCTGAGCTCCGTGAAAAAAATGCGAAATAAATACATATATTATGTAAAATGTCGTTTTTCGACAGGTATCTAATCAATGTTTGTTAATTTAGCGCATTTAAAGCAAATTTTGTTTTAATACTTACTATAAACTGATTTAATAGAAAATATTTGTGATATTCAAATGCATGGTCGGTAATATAGCCGTCTCTTTTCCTCGCGGTCCGTACCTGCTATATCGCATTCAGATTTGCAAGTAAAAAAATAAGTCAAAGAAATAAGGTCTATATTCTTCCGCATATAGCATTAAGTCGTAAAATTTTACGAGCTTACATCTTGGACTGTCTTATCTCTTTGACGCATGCGTTTTAATTAAGACCTTATACAATGTGCTTTAAAGGTGGTTTTCAATGTTTAAATAATGTCTTATATTGTTTAGACTACACGATCACCTTGCGGAACTCCATGGATCGTCCAATGTACCTTTTGGACAGGTTTCGAGCATGATTTTGTTCGTGTTGGTGTATCTAGGGTATTTAATATCGTTGGCAAGATAGCGCAATGATCAGCTCTTTGAGCATGTTTTGTTTTAAGTTAAAGTTAATGTTGTGATAAACAAGCTTAGGGCTCGCCTGCTGGTAGGCGGCCTACATAGCCTAAAGACGCTTGCGACACAAAAAAAAAACACTCGCACCGTTGTCTACCCTGTCCCAAGCCCCTTCCCGCGGAACCCTGGAGTCTTACTTCTGTGTTCTGTTCTTTTCAATGGCTGGCCTTTAGATGGCTGATCAAGATTTTTTAAACTCTACTGTATTTTGAATGGCTGGCTTAGCCGTTGATTTCTGTTGCAATAGGGTATTTGATAAGTTTTAGAAAACGATCTCACGTTATTTACTAATGTTTATAAAGTCCATAAAAAGTGGATATTCATCATTATGTTGTGTATTTCGGTAAAAAAACTAAATCAAAAACTCTATTTTCAAGTTGCCGCCTAAAACGTATCTCTGGACAATATGGCGTCTCACTGGTGTGTGACGTCACACGACTGTCATTAAAATGTCAAACCATACAATCTAATGTCACTTTAACCGGTGTGATGTCATTTTAGGCTCCACCAATCCCAAGCGTTTTGGGTTACGTGACAAAAGACTATAAATCTATTCTCTATCGTGGGTTTTTAGTAAAATTATAATATTTTTTCCGTAAAAATAGTAAAAAAATCCTTCCAATATTCATTCTAAATACAGATGTTTACAATTGGCACTTTATTTTTAATACTGTCAAATACCCTATTGTAAGGTAAGCACCCATCAACCTGCACTGGCCCTAAAAATCCTGAGAATACCCTCTACGCTGTTATATTGACTTATCGTCGCTTTTACCCCAAATGTTTGTTACTGGACGTTAGTTTATACTAATTTTACTCAAAAACTACTGGAACGATTACAATAATTCTTTCAAAAATTAATCCTGTGTGACATACATAGGGACACGAAAAAAGTATCGATACTTTGTGGTATCGAGTACTTTTCCTTTCGATACCGATACTTTTGTACTCGATTCTTTGTATTCGATACTTTTACTAAATGAGTACTTTTTGGCAGGTATCGATACCTTTAAAAATTTGAATAAGCGCATCATATTGATGGCAACGCCATCTTGTTAAATCATAGCAAACCTTCTATAACGTTCCATAGGGTATTTGATTAGTTTTAGGCAACGATCTCACGTTATTGGCTAATGTTTATGAAGTCCGTAAAAAGTGGATATTCATCATTCTGTCGTATATTTCAGTAAAAATAACCAAATCAAAAACTCCATTTTCAAGTTGCCGCGAAAACATTTCTCTGGACAATATGGCGTCTTACTAGTGAGTGACGTCACATGACTGTTAATAAAACGTCAAACGATACAATGTAATGTCACTTTGACCGGAAGTTTACTTGCGTGTGACGTCATTTTAGGCTCCGCCAATCCCAAGCGTTTTGGGTTACGTGACAATAGATAAGAAAACTAATATCTTTTTTTATTTTGGCACTTTATTTTTAATACTGTCAAATGCCCTATTGCGTTGTTATAAAGTCAGTAACTGACATATTCAAATTCTTTCCAATCTGTGACTGTGTTTATTTTGCGCGTTGTTTTGTTTCATAGTTATTTATTTAGCGACCATATTGTTAGGAACTGTGATTGATTCGCCGTTTATTGTGTTTTTCGCTTGACTGTATTTGATTTATTCAAGTGTAACACTATTATTCTGTCTGTGCTGTGTATACCTATTTGAAACCACCTGAAAAAAAGACGGACGTAACCTCTTCTATAATTATAATCTTGAGTGAAGCATGCCAATGGCAGCCGTTAACTACGTGTCAGATTCAAATTAACATAAGTGGGTATAATGTTTTTTAATGATTAAAATTCAGGAAAAGTAAGTTTAATTTGAAACAAATCTGAAAACTTTCATACTTCTAAATTGTTTAAGATTTCTATTTTCTATTTAACATTTTAATTATGAATGTAATATTAATGAACACTTTTTTAGTGTCAGAAATCACAGCTGTTTTCTTTTCATTATATAATATAGCATTTTGTGAATTTACATGTCCTTTTTTTGTTTTTGATTATTCGTACTATAGTAAATTTCGATTGTTTTTCTTTCAATTTTAACACCAGGGGGGGGGGGGGGTTGCTCATCAGGCCACAGAGGCTCCGATAAGACCCTATGAAATGTACTCGATACTTTGAAGTATCGATACTTTTGTTTCGATACTTTTACGAGTACGATACTTTTTTACCGATACTACTCATGAGTACAGTATCGATACTTTCTATTCGATATCGTGTCCCTAGACATACACTAAAATTTATTGCGTTATAATGAATAAGTATCTTTAGGTACTTAAATCTAGAGCAGCAAAAATCAGTATTCTGCCATGACTTTTGGTCGCGTTCAAATCGTCAGTCTTATGAATAAGAACTACTGGACGATTCAATTTACACTGTTGGAAGACTGACCTGTACCTAGCACGAACCAATGTCGAATTCGAATAGTTTGCGAGTCATTTTCAAATGTGTACTGATTTTTAGTTCTCGTTACCTACGTCCTTTGTGGCACAGGTGTTAAGGTTACATACAAAATTTTTTTGGACTCGCAAACTATTCCAATTCGATAATGGTTCGTGCTAATGGTGCTTTTTTATAGTATCTTTGAATTGATTTATGGTTAATTTTTAGATATTGCTTGGGACTTTATGGTATATTTTTTTTGAGGTTTATGCTCGTATACGGCAAGATCCTAAGGGGATCTCAAGCCGAGAATTGGAACACCTCTAGTGGCTAGAGGTCAGAAATCTCTTCAAGTAGTTCATCCCACTTAGACTCCCGCATTTTCTTCATGCGCGCCTTAATAGCACGCTGCAAGGTACGCTATCGGGGCGGTTGTCGTCCGTGGGGTAGGTGTGACAGCGTTCTTTGCCCTTAACAGCTCTCTAGCGTCGTCCGGTAGGTTGCAGCAATGGTCTGGCATCGCTGGATCTTGTCGGGACGCCTCGCTTATTGCGGAAGTCGCTCGAGAGGGCTCCGATCGCAGAGAGTCTCGTGAGTTGAGGTTATGTGATCGGGGATGTTTATGGTTTAAGTGAACACAAGGCCCTTTAAATGAATTATTGATTTTGTGAAGCCTAGTCGCTTTATTTTTATTTATTGTATTAAGTGTGTGATTATCACTGTTTTAAGGAACAAGTTAATATTTTTTCTTATAACTACCACTTAATAAACCGTTCAAGTTTATGGTTGGCGAATTATTTATTCTATAGAACCCCTTCTATCGACAAAACGATAGAACCGTCGAGAATAAAACAATATAAAAATAACTTACGCATATCAAGAAAAGCGACCACATATTTTCTTGGTGGTTCCCGAGTCAATTAGCTAACGGCCTTTTATAAACCCCTTGTTTACTATTAACTTTATCGTAAAAAGTACCAGTTATGGACCAATTAAGAACCAAGTCCTTTCTTTTATAACGAGCTCACTCATTAAAACGTTGCAAAATAAAACAACGTCGTTGTCACCAACCAATATATTCTGTTATACGAGTATATGCACTTTTTGGAGATTTCGACATTTTCAATGTTTTGACTATTTTCATCATTAATGTGCGGAAACAGAATGGGATTTAGATTAGAGGGCGCTGTAGTGCTTTTCTACCGTATATGTAAGGTTTTACCCCTCTTAGACATGATTAAATACAAAAAACCGCAAGAAACACAACAACAAACTTTGACGTTTTACGGATTGCTGGGTTTGATTGCCAAATAAAAATCTTAATGTTAGTTCCGTTTTTCGCCACGCCCATTCTCTTTCCGCACAGACTCTAACCGAATTTTCGAATACAAAGACAGGTGGGGTCGTCATTTGGTCATTCTGGATTTCTTCGGTGAATACTTTTGAGTTTTATTTCTATCCCGACCCTCCACTAAGCTAGTGCAGGTTGGTCGGTAACTTCTCGCTACTGCAACAGCCCGGCGTGATGTACACTACATTTACCTGAATTTAAGATACTTAGATATGTTTAATGGCCTATGCAGACGATAGATTTTTGTCCGCGGAGGACATAAGCCCCTAAAGCTTAAAAAAAACCAGTGAGCCTTACAGTAGTCGCGTATGATGTGTAACATTTGAAACCTCACCTTATATTAAGTAAAACTATAAATAAAACCTACTACAAAAGGAATTTATGATTAACTTTATGATTAAGCCGTTTGAACATTATGTTCTAAAATCAAATCAAATAGCGCGCGCTTTCGCGACTTCCTGTTACACATTTCCGTCCCATT